ATGTTTGAGATTAAGAAGCCTGTCACACTGCAGTCTCTCTGGAAGGAGCAGAAGGAGCAGGAGCAGGAGGAAGGTTACGTGCAGGAGCGAGAAAGGGATCCTCAGGCGGCAGGCCGCAAGAAGGCGGCTGTGAGCACTGCGAAGCCGACGGAAAAGAAACTTTCGCTTGCCGAGTCGCTCTTGCTGAAGGCACAAGAGCGGAGGAAGCGGGAGCGAGATGAGACGGGCATCGCAGGTGGCCAAAGCAACGGCGAGGATGACAGCCTCACCATTTTCCCTACACGCGGCGTTCACCACCTCAATTCAGTGCACGACAGCGGCGTCAGCGGAAAGTACCGTGACCCAGATTTCTTCATGGAGACGACGAAGCGCGCCACAATGGAGGACGCGCACTACTCCGTGAAGGACGCGACGCTTGACATGACCGCAGAGAGCGCGCAGGAGGCGCATCAGCAACGACAGGTGTACGCTTGGAGCAAGAAGAAGAACCGCTACGTCCGCATGAATGTCAATGATGCCAAGGCGTTGTTGCATGGAGTGAAGAATGAGGCGGGCAAGGCGGTGAACTTCAAGTCGAAGCTCGAGGTGTACTCGCGGTGGATGAAGAAGAGCAACATGCGCATCCAGGACGTCGGTGAGGAGGAGGACCTCGGCCCACTCAACCGCGCACGCGCCGCACAAGCGCAGTCCAACGGTGACGGAGCAGCAGGAGCCGACGAGGGCGACGATGAGGACGCGGTAGACATCAGCGACCCGAACCAAGGGAAGAAGCTGCGCGTTGGCCGCAAGCAGCGGCGTCTGCCGAAGGACGGACACGTGCGCACTTTTGAGGAAATGGCGCTCATGAAGCGCAAGACAGAAAAGGAGAAGGCGCGGCTGGCACGCAAACAGCAGAGACGAAAGAGCAATTGATTGTGAGCTTGAAAGTGAGTGAGTGTGTCTGTGTGTGTGTACGTGTGCACGCGTTCTCTTTGCTGTGCATGGTGAGGCTTCGTGAAGGAGAAGAGCAACAGTGGCAGTGACAACTCTGCTTGCGATGCTGGCAGCCCCCATCGCAGCCGATGCGTGAAGGCGTGTGTATCCACGGAATGGGGCTCGAGTGTGTAACAGAAGAAACAGCAGGAAGCAGTGGAAGGATACTACGAAACGTTTAAGCGAAAACAACTACAACAGCGCAGGACAACGAAAAGTAAAAGAAGGCTTCGATAATGCAAATGGGTGCGGAGGTGCCAAACACCTTTAACTCAAACCAAAAAAAAAGTAGAAAACAAATTCTTTAAGACATACAAGGCGAATGTATGAAGGCATATGGCTCCATCGATATATATATTTCTCCTTTGATTCATTCCCCTTGACAGTCTATTTCCTACTCTCTCTTATCCACTTTCTTCTTATTTCCTTCCACTGCCACCCCGCAGCGGTGCGATCCATCCCACTAGCGATGATGCACGGCCTTACGTACCCCAAGGTGGAGGCAAAACAACAACGGCTGCCGCTGATGGGCACGGCACAACTTCCGTCACTCGAGTCGTCGGATAAAAAAAATCCAATGGAAACGGGGAGAAGGCAGAGAATGCCGGTGGTTGGAGCAACAGACTCATCGTCGTCGTCCTCGTCGAGAGGCAAAAAAGGCCGCAGTAGCGGAAGAAGTTCAGATAGGAGTGGAGCGAGGTCCGCCGCCTCCGTCGAGACCATCATGGAGATGAACAAGGAGGCGATGGCGCTTCTGAGGGACGGGAAGAAGAAGGCAAGCCACGACATGCTTCAAGCCGCGCTTTCAGCTGCCGAGTCGGGTGTTCGCCGGATTCAACGGCAATCAGATGCGTCTCGGGCAGGCGTTCAGGAGCAGCGTGACGCTTGGCTTCTCGCATTTGCAACGACGCTCAGCAATTTGGGCTGTGTGCGGCGCCGGGATAACAAGCTGCACGACGCACTGCGCTACCTGCAGGACGCGCGAGAAGTGGAGGCGCAGGTATTTGGCAAGCCATCGTGCTCAACAATGGTGAATCTCTCCGCGGTGCTGCTGGGCGTCGGGTCGGCGGAGGAGGCACTACGCATCGCCCGTGACTGTGTGGTCGCGTCGGAAGACAGTGACCCGATGCTGCACATCATCGCGCTGCACAACTACGGCGTGACGCTGAGTCAACACCCCGCCGAAGACACGCGGCAGTCAGCGGCGTCTGTTCTCATGAAGGCGCTGCGGCAGTCGCAGTCGCACCTCGGCGAGGAGCACCCCACCACCGTCCTCATCCGCGAGCGCTGTGGCATGTCGCTGCGGAATCCACCACAGAGCGGCACGGTCGCCGCGCCGCAAGCCAAAAAAACGAGCAGCCAGGCCCCGCCCGCCGGTCACGTCCTGCCGCCCATCGCCCCGATTTCGGTTCAGCGCTTACAGGCGAAGGAGGCGATGCAGTCACTCGACTACGGCACCATGCCCTTGACCGCAACATCCTCTGCCCCATCGGAGCGGCAGACGGCATCGTTGTCTTCACTTGCCGCGTCGCTGAAAGAAATGGTTGGTTCCGGGACGATGCGGCCAGCACCGGTCCTTCCACCCATTACGTCTGACTCTGTAGCTAACGACACACAGACAGAACCCCCCGCCCGCCGCTCAACACCAAATGTCCCAGCCTCCGTCTCCTGTGTGGTGGCTGGCGAAGCCCAGTTGCTGCAGAAGTCTTTGCAGATGGATCTAGTGCCTGTGATTTTGTCAACAGTAACTGAGACATGCGTTAGGCGTGGGGAACTTCCTGAGGGAGACGTAAGTGATACCGTCACTGTGACGAAGGTTGAGGTGGATGAGTTGGAAGAAAATGAAGCCACAGTCTTACCTTCTGATGTGAAGGAAATTCTGAGGAAAGAGGAGAAGGAGGAGGAGGAGGAGGAGGAGGAGCACAAAAGTGAGAGTCATGGGGAGAGGCAAGACAGCGAAGAGGCGGACACTTTTCATGTCGATGCCTTGGGCGCGACGAGACGACCCGTCCGAAATGCTATTCCTGGGGGTTTCTTCGTCATTGCTTCGCACAGCGCAGAAATGCAGCCATCGTTCCTCCGCTTCGCACCACCAGAGACCCCGGCATCACTACCACTAGAAGAAGGAGAAGCAGCAAGAAAGGCTTCCGCATGCTCTCCTACAACCCAACATTCCAGTCGTGACTCCAAGTCATCTGTTAAGCCGCCCCCATCAAGGTCTGAAAGGGAGAAGTTATTCACCGACTCTGACGAGGAGATACTGGGAAAAGAAACGGAGGAGGGGGATGAAGAGACGAGCAGTTCCGAAAAGCCGAAGGAGAATATGGGGGCCCATGTATTAGGTAATATACGAGAAACCGTTGTCAAAACCATCGGTGTCAGTGCTGTAATGCGCCGTGCCGAGCGCATGCAGAAGGAACGCGAAGAAGAAGAGGCGTTGCGCTCTCGTTTACGCCAAGAGGCCGAAGAGAAGGCCAAGAAGGAGTACTTTGAGCGCAAGCTTAGTTTCATTATCTCCCGTACTAGAAATACAGCGGCTAGTAAGATTCAGTACACGTGGCTCATGTGGTGGAATAGTGTGGGGAAGCGGCGGCGCGAGCTGCTGCGCAAGCGTGAGGAGGAAAAGGCTCGTCGTGAACGTTCACGGCAGGCGCTGCTCGACCATGAGCGGCGCGTTGAAGAGGCGTTGCGGCAAAAGAAACGACCGGCACAGGCTGTTGTCGCAGTGATTCCGTCGGTAATACACTGTGGAAAGAAGTGGCTGGAGAGGACGGCGTGTGTGCGTTACCTAGCGCGACGTGGCATCCCGCGCGAAGACCGCAACGAGGCCTTCTTCTTGCGGAGTGTTGCCAAGATTCAGGCGGCATGGCGAGGGGTTTCCACCAGACAGCGGGTCCGAGACATGCTTGCTGTACGAGCGGAGACGTTGTTATTGAAGCAGGAGATCGAACCCCGGGAATATGCGGCAATTGTCATACAAATGTTTGTTCGTCGCGTATTTGCGAGGATGACTAAACGACGCAATCTTGTGGAGCGGTATGGGCCACCTACAACGCTTATTCAGAAGTGGTTCAGGCAGACCATGCTTCGTCGGCGCGCGCTTGGCATTGATCGGGTGTCTAGGTGGCGCAAGGAGTACTCGGCGCGCCTAATTCAGCGGGCGTGGCGTGCATACCTCAGCCGACTCGCTCATTTCATGGCGCTTCTGCGATATCAGCTCGACGAGGACCGACGACGCGAGCGCACTGCCGCAAAGTTGCTCCAGCGCATCGGTCGTGGGTGGATCTGTAGACAGTACATGACGAGAACACGGCTGCGAAATACACACTACCAGACTGTCACGCACACCCTCAAGTGGGGCAATGACGGCGCAGGCACCGAAAAGAAGGATTTTTTGGAATCCGCCTCTGCTGCTGTTGTGCCGCCCGCAGCCGCGGTGTACGTCCCCACCCCCGTGGAGGAGGTGGAGCAGATAGCCCAGATGGAGCGGGACAAGTATCACATTGGCATATTTGTTGACACTGTTGCAGCACGTGAGCGGGAGGCGTGGGCGGAGGCTCTTCGCCTGCGCCCCTTTGAGGTGCTGCGTCGCCGCGCGCACGAGGACCACCTGTGCGAGCTGGAGCTCAACGCTTCCCGGCGGGAACGTGCGGCGGTGAAGATACAAACCGAGTTCCGCCGCTGGCTGCGCATTCGGGACGGGCCGTGGCGCGACAACACACTGCTGCTAATTAGTCGTGGTCGCTACCAGGAGGCGTGCTACGGGCGAAAGGTTGAAATGGTTCGGCACCGGCGTGAGCAACAGGCAGGGCGCGAGATCTTCGGCGAGCAAACAGCGCCTATGCGGGAAATGCGGGTAGAAGTACAAGAGGAACTGCGTGAGGTGCAGCCACTGGTGCGCACACATGTTCCTCACGAGGAGGTGCGAACTCGCACAGAGCGCTACACGGTTGAAATGGAACTGCAGCGCGATGAGCTGGTGGTGGAGCAGCAAATGACTTCTGATATGTTTGGTCGCAAACGAGAATCCAGGCAGCGTCGAATGATTGAGGCGTCACCAACGCCACAAACAATGTATTGATGTTGGATTTTGTTTCCGAGTTGCTCTGCATTACTAAATGTGTGCTCTGGGGGAGACACCCCGCAGGGTCAAGGGGACTTGCGAAGGGAAAGAGCTATTCCTGCGGTGTTGAGTAGGATTGCGTGTGCGTGTGCTTTCCTTCTCGTTTCCTCTCCGTTTTTTTTTTGTTTTGTTTCTTTGTTTTCTCTTTGTTTGTTTGGAGGGAGTGAACGATTGAAGCATTTTGTTTTCTTGCCCATTTTTTGGCAGGAGAGTGGTGGAAGCAATGATCGATGTTGCATTAGCAATGTATAGAAGGGCGGGATGTGATGCATCTGACAAGACAAAGTAGAGAGAGGGAAATTATTGTTGGAAAGTGCGGATGAGTTCTCTCACTTCCTGTTCCGTCTCATATTTCGTTACAAATGGTGAGTACGGGGTGGGGGGGGAGGGGCACGTGGTGCCGTTGAACTAGACTTTTGGCAGCCACGCACAGCGATATGTCTCCTAGTCATTTAAATTGTGTTGCTTTCGCTCATTTCTGTAAATTAATTCGTTGTTTCTCTCACTTCATTCATTCCATCTTTTTTTTTTGTGCTTTTGTTTTACCTTTTCTCGCCGTGTCCCTCCCTCATATGTGTAACCTACTTCACCTAGGGAAGGTAGCTGCAGTCCGTTTCTGTTTTTGATTATTGTTATTTTTTTT